AGCAGGGCAAAGGTTGGAAAGAATCAGAAAATGGGCTTGATGGGAATGAGGCTGTAATATTTCCCAGGAAGGCCAGGAGAAAAGCAGTCAAGGAACAGATTCAGTTGCATTTGTACTCCTCGTAAAGCCGAATGGGGAGGTGCAACATTTATAATAATGGCTTTCTGTCAATATGCGGAGAGCGAGGGTCAAAAATAAACAGCTTACGGGAAAGGGGTTTTGTTGAGATGAGAAGGTAGACAGAGTTTACAGGTATATGTATATATTTATATTGAGCCGGAAGCATATCCTAGCATGCACTGGGCAGAGGGGAGTCAAATACTCTGGACAGCAGGTTGTCGGTAAGAAGACAAAATGTACTGAAGCTCACATTCAGCTAATTAGGAGTCTTCATTCCACCTGACATGCAAATCTCTGGATGTGTGGCGGGAGGAGAGCAGCATGAAGCCAAACCCACACAGTGACAGGGAGCTCTAATTAACCTAAATCAAATGTAACATGTAAAATAAACATTTCAAAACAGCACAAAGAAAATACTGAAACAAACTGCTGAGCAACATGTGTTTTGGTTGTATCTGATGCATTGTTTATGCTTATATTGATTTTGGCTGACAGTGGCTTGAAGCAGTTTATTGTTTATTGGCACTGATATTCTGGCTGTCCCCTGTGGTAGCCTTACATCTTTATACATTATGTAAACTTGGTGTGAAAATCGTCTGCATGAATAGGTTCAGTTGCATCCCACTCAGGGTCATACAACTTGCGTGTCCAATATTCACACTTCTTTTTTTAGCTCTCTTTTGGGCCCCACCAGCCCTTCTGCAGCTCTTTTTGTATTCCTGCAGTTGGGAGGTGGACACAATGCAAAATAAAAAAGGGGCTGCTTTGATCGGTTGGATGGTTTACTTAACCTTACCTAACTTGTGAAAAACCGAAGGCGAGGTAACACGGTAAAAATATTCTAACCACATAGTCACTCAACTGTAGGTAGACTTTTATTTAAGTTGTCTAAAACACATATTTGTCCAATATTTTGCTTAGCTTTCATGTTGCTCATTCCTGTCTTCTTCACCAAAACTGAGGCGTGCCTTCTATAAAATACTGACTATTGATAAGTATTTCATACAACCCCAATATCAAAAATCCCTGCCCCTCTAATAAAGAAAATCTAATATAGTTTATTCAAGTGTTTTATGAATCACTTTACTTTTCAATCACTTTACTGGTGAGTTTCCATTGTTTCCCACATAAGTCCCCAACCCTAAACCTAATGTTGCTTTTCAGCATAAAAACCCTGTTTAGAGAAAAGATGTAAGCTACAGCTGTTCTTGTGAAATCATGCGCTCTACTGCTTGCCTCGATTTAGCTCTGGAACATATCTCTCCTCTCTTCATATGTATATTTAATGACAGCCAGATATATCGTGTCCCTTGGGTGACTTTGAAACATTTCATAAAGTACACGGTACTACATTAAATCAGATTATGTTACCAGAGTCTACATCTTCATGAATACATTGAAGACATTCTGGCCAGGATTTGCTTTGATTCATATCAGCTCAAATTTGGAAGTAAATGAATTCTTTCAGGAAATTATCATTTAAATGTGCATCAGAAAGGAAATCAAAGCTCTCCACGCTGACTGTGAAAGGGATTGTGTCTAATATTTAATAATATTAGGATTTCTGCAGATGAATAATGAAGTGCAAGTCAGTCTTATTTTGCTGCAGGGAAAGTAATAAGAGACCAGTGAGTTAGAAATATCCCCTGGTGATGTTTCTTTTAACCACAAAAAGGTCTTCGTTAGAAATGTAAGAGCATACTGGAGCTGCTATCGTAAACATCAGAGTTGGTGGTTATGAATGTACACCTTGGGAATCGTTTCTACGTCAGCACGCTCAACTTCAGATTTCACATTCTCTCTGAAGATGCTCACTGATCAAACTACTAAGTGTTCTTCATTGTAGTTTTATCGTATGCGTTTCTTGCAAAGAGGACAGGGCCAAGGAACGGAGACAGACGATGACAAGCAGCACCTCTTAGGAAATAATTATCTCTGTCTTCCCACCACAGCCTCCTGTGGGAGATCGAGCCATGATGGCTGCCAGTTTGCTGCACGGCTGTCTCCAAACCAAAGGCTTTGTTTGTCCCTCTGCAAGTGGAGTTGTTGACAAAGCTTCTGAGTGTTTACAGCAAGATTTTCACCAACAATCTCATACTCACGATTACATGGGAAATATGTCTGGCAGTTTACCATTGGCAATATGGGATAATCTCTTGTGACGGCTTACACACTGGAGGGACAAAATCATTCATTACGGCTCTTAAGTGCAACAGAAAAAATGTCTGATCTGATCAAAGCAAGAAGATATGACATATCATTTCCCTCAGTCATCTTGAAAAATGTATTTAAATATATTACTTAGTACCCAACCATAAAATGAGATCGTAAAAATGAATAGTCTACTACTTAACCTATGAAAACAGTTATATGCAGTGGTAGAAAATAACAAAAAAAAGTACATTTACTCAAGAAATGTTCTTAACGTAATTGGCACTCTATAAATGGTGCTAGGGTACATACATTTATTATAGAGTTATACATTTCAGAGGGAGGTTTTGAACTTTTATTCAATTACATATTTTATTAGACATGTTTACTTTTGAAAATTGGATGAATATGTCATGAAAAACATTTGAGTGTACAACATGCAATGCATTAAAGATTAAACCAGTAGTTTTCAAACTTTTTGACATGTGACCTTTTGTAAAAAATGGTGGTTCATACCTCCTAAAGTGACATTTCCCCTCTTAATTCCACAAATGCTTCCAAAAAAGGAAACTATTAGAGACCAATTCAGATATATCTAGTAATTATCCACTATTTATAATTATTGATTTTACTTGTGTCTATTATCATCCTTCAGGAGGGGTGAGGTGTGGGATGACCTGGTGATGTTCTTAGTGGTTCCCGTTGAGAATAATTGTACAGCACATAAATGAAACTGATGGTTGAAGGAAATCTGACCTATGAATGCTCTTAGTCCTCCAGCAGCAATATGACAATTGAGGTGCCCCTGCTCCTGGTGAACAACCTCATTTAGCAGAGTGGGAGGGGGAGCTGGAGGAAGGCGGGGTGACTACGTCTTCGCTCATGGTGCTTCTTCGTTCGACAGGACGCTCTTCATCTGCTGGCGCCTGGAAGAGGGATGATGACCGGCCGCAGTGACATCACTCTGTAATACGCTGTAGGCTTTTAGGGAGAGTTGCGTAGTTGGAGATGATGCTTATTGAGGAAAAAACAGCAAGTAAGGAGACGAAAGCGTTGAATATTTGGGACGGTGACAGTGTGAGGTGACTTTGATTTTGTTCCATCATTTAGATGTCTCAAGAGCAGAGCGGCCATATTGACTTCTTCATGACATATGGTATAACTGACAGATATAGTGGTTAATATTAGCAGATGAAGTGTTGCAGAAGTTTGTAGGCAATACAGAGCAACACAACGCATGCAGGCAACTTTCTGTGCGTGAAATGCCAAGGTTGATCATTAATTCATGGTATGTTTCATAAAGGCACTGTTTCTGAGAAATGTTCAAAGATGAGCGATGTCAGTTGTTTTCATTTGCCTCTCGTTTCCGTGGGAACACAGACAATGACAAGAAATCCTTGGTGACCTGATTGGCAATGTTGAGTACCTTTTGTCTCCACCAGCGCCTCGCAAAACACCTCTCATCTCATTTCTTTCTTCTCTTTTTTAGGTATTTTATGCTTTAACGTGCAAATTAAGCACAGGGGATCTACTTTGCTGCTGCTTACAGAGGATAGCACTGCACGTTAGGATTAAGGCTAATTGAAATGACTATAACGTTGCATGTAGAAGACCACAAGCATATTAAATGATAAATACAAACAAAATGTGGATTCAAAAAGACATCCTTAAACCGAGACAGTGCTTACGTGGTAACAATACAGCTTCTATGACAACTGATAAATGAACCCTCTGCAGACCAAGGCCATCAGGTGTGGCTGAAAGCTCTTGAAAAAAGAGCAAGTGGACCTTTTGTTATCCGTTTTGTTTTTTATAAATAGAACTTACATCGAGAGCAAACTATTCTCATAAATATAGCTAGGCACAATAAACAGCATTATAAGCTGATTTCATCCAATCCACCTTTAATCACTCATTATTTTATCATACAATCTATTTCTTCCAATTTAATCTTTTCTAAAAACCTTATTACTACAGGTTGAAAACTCACATTTATAAAATGTTAACCATCTTGACTAACCAACTGGACCCTCACCTTTTGCCCTTAACCAGCTGTTGTTTTTAGTTTAAATGTATGTTTTGTTTAAGACAGAGAGTATGACAAGTCAATGTGTAGATCATTCACTATAGCTATGACATGTACTATGTGGCCGTACAGTAAATCCTTCTCATCTGCTTTAAAGTCACAAAACAACACCATCATCTCTCCGGGGAGCAGACTCATTAAAGATTCCTTAGAAGACGGTACGTTAATGGCTATGCTGATGGTTAGAAATGTGAGACAAGGAGAGTACGTCTTTCATTGGAAGTAGAGCAAATTCATGGATATAAATCCTTACAGGATACAGCACTTCTTTTAAGTAACAACTTTGAATTCAAGTTCTGTTTAGAGACAGTTGCATACCAAATGAATTCAGTATGCATTCAGGATGGGAAAACATTCTGAAATACAGTTCATAAAGCATAAAATTAGTACAAATATAAATACTTTGATCATCCTTAAGACACATATTGTACGAAAGATTACTCAAAAGGAAAAACAACAAGCTTGAGTGTCAATTCAGTGTTGGAAGTTCTAAACATAGCTGCATGGAAATGCACTTTCATCTCCAAATGCATCATCAGCCCTGGGATCACTACCTTAAAAAATGTACCAAGACCCCCCCATAAAAAGAAATCAAAGGTCCGACATGCATGAGAAGTACAGATCAAAGAAACTGGTAAAGAAGTATTTTGGCATTGAATCTTTATTTAAAAACACACTAAAATACTGATGGTACACGTGCTGAGGGTCGGTCATTTGTCCATAGATTCTGCAGATGAGCTTAACCGTTGTGTGACTGTAGGATTGTCCGTACAGTCTTCTGCTGCTTCATCTTCAAGGACGCCTGCGCCGTCATCTGTCGGCGTCAGAGTGAAATAGCTTGTGTGTTGAAATTTGAGCACTTCGTTACCCCAGCTGGTCCATCCAGGTAGAAGACTTCTGGCAAACAACTCCAAGCACTTGGCTTCAGCTCCAAGGTAGGGCTTCAACACCTCTACAGAGAGAAATGAGGAAGAGGAATTAATGTGGCATGTTTTAATAAACTCGGGTGCAAACACAAGTAGATTTTTATATACAAGTATAAACAGTAAGCAACCCCCGCCCCCCCAAAAGAGTTATGCCTTTGGTTTGCTAATTCATGGCTAAAAACAAGATTTAAGTAGCTCTTAAAAGAATAAATATTTGTTCACTACTGTCAAGTTAAACTTTAAATAAACACAGTTTTCATTAAGGACATGCATGTGATCAACAGAAGATGCTGTTCTTATAACTGTTTTTTAGCCAGGCCCTAATTTTTCCAACATTTCTTTCACATTGTGTGTGTATCCGGAGGATAAAAAAGGATAAGGCAGATGCTATTTACACCCAGGTGTCCGTAGCTAACAGTGCTATTTACACCCGGGTGTCCGTAGCTAACAATGCTATTTACACCCAGGTGTCCGTAGCTAACAGTGCTATTTACACCCGGGTGTCCATAGCTAACAATGCTATTTGCACCCGGGTGTCCGTAGCTAAAAATGCTATTTGCACCCGGGTGTCCGTAGCTAACATTGCTATTTACACCCGGGTGTCCATAGCTAACAATGTTATTTACACCTGGGCTATACATTAGATACTGTTTTGGATGTATAGGTATTTATGGAAATGTTTCTTTGGGGAAAAAGGGCTAAATAATAACCAGCCTGAGAGCACATTAGAAATTCAAATATTTATCAATTTATCGACAAGTAGCAAACATTGTGGCTTTCAGGGCCATGGGACCTGAGGCAGTTGCCTTGAGATGAAACATTCAGATACGTTTACTGCACTGCATTCATTTCTTAAGGAGACACTTTGCTCCATAATCGGCAGAGGACAGCACTGGCAACAGCCCAGCTCCTTCACACACCTTTATATGTGGAGAAAGGCAGTGACCTTGAGTCTATAACAGATGATATTATAGGGCCAGCACACCTGACAGATACTTTTCACTTCCTCTGCCTCGGTGCTACTCTGTCTGCTCTTGTGCATGCTCAAACCACCCTGACACTCGCCTCAGCCAACACTCAGTGAGTTAATGAGCTCAAAAGCCTGATACCCAAACCCATCCAGCCTGCACAATGTGGTGTCCTGCCTCCCGTTTCCTTTGCACGTCAGAGAGACAGAGTCACAGAGGAAAGGCCAAACATGCAGCTCTCCAACTAACTCAACCTTAACCGGTGACTCAGCTCTCAAAGTTAAACAGGTTAAACGGTCTAATTATCCTCTTAACTCTGAAATGGAACAATGTATAAAACTTCTGCAGAGAGGCCTAAGGCAAAGGAAGATGTAACTTAACTACACTTGACAAGAACCCTGCCTTACAGGGTCTTCGTATTCCCCCTAAATTTAATTCAGCCCTAACAAACTAAGAGCAAACTAATTATGTCGCACCAGTTCAATTACAGTACCGTTATTTATTCCACACTTTCAAATATAGATTTTCTTGAAACACTGCTAATCTGAGTTGTTTAATAATCTTATAAATATGGCAATACATTATAAACATAGTTGGATGAAGTAGAATATGTAACATTTTAGTCTATCTTTCTTATGGAATGTTTTCAAGTTATCATCAATTGAATTCGACTCGCATCACAGATGTGGAGTCCCACAGGGTCTTGTGTTTTGCCCCATCTTAATCTTCTTTCAATTATTTCTAATTGTACAGTTTATATCCCAAAATAACATAAAATCCCACTTTTGCGCTGTTGCCTCCACACTTGTATACACCCAATAAAATAATACATGTTTCTCTCTTTATCATTCACTGCCAAAAAAAACTGCTTACAAGTATTTTACTTATTGGTCAATTTTATGAATATAAAACTGTACGAACAAACCCAAAACACGATGCCGCTCCTTAAAGAACCAAAGTGAGTCTAACCAAAAGAAAAACATAAACCTGCAATATGACCTATGATTTTTTATTTTTTAAATAGACTGCTTAAAAGTGAAGATGTAAAGTGGTAGAGCTGACCAAGGAAATAACTATTACAGCTGCCAATGAAACACATTGATGCATAGCTCAATATGATGGATCGATTTTCTAGTCAACACTGATGCAGCCCTAACAAATGGCGAAGTGCCTCTTCCTGACACGAATATTAGGGAACAGCCAATTAACCACTAATTATATTACCAAGTTGGGGAGGGAGCTTTTTTTCACAATTGTTATGGTTGTATGGGGTCCTAATTAATAGGGGCTTGTTGTACAGAGAAATGCAAGCACATTTCTTTCCTGCCGCTTGACCATCTGGCTTGGATGTGTTGTATCAGTAATGGTGTTCCATATCTCTCCATAGCAACCAAATATGTCAGTGATCTGAGCCCTATATGAGAGGGGAGGAGAAGTGGGGCAGGGTTTCTCAACGCTGCAGACTCCAGGGTTGTGGCTTCACACCAGAGGCTGCCCACTGGCTCTAGCACACAGGACATGCTCAACAAAATTGCAGAATAATTACAAGGACGGTAGCTTGAGATGAGAGTAAGAAAGCAAAGGCTGATTAATGCCAAAGGTCTTGGAACATATTTTTGAAATTTCAACAAGTTGCATAATTCATTGCATGAGTAAACAAAATAAAAAAAACTTCAAGCCCTGAGGTGTTTAATGATCAAGTCAAATAGTTAAATAAATAAACAGCTTTATTAGCAGCTCTGCAAGAGTTGGGTTAGGCCCTTCTAATATTTATGACAACCTGCAATTACAATTTTTTTCACTCACAGCATTGAGCCACGCCCACTAACAACAGAGCTTTCAGATTTAAAACCGATTCAAATGAGGTGCACCACAGTAACAGATGCTGCTTTTTCTTTCTGGGAATTTAACACATTTGTTTAAAATGTTTACTTTTGTATTTAATTGTTAGTGCTATTACATTTGCAGCTGTGCACATCTAAATAAAGATGTCTGGATTACAACTCAAAAAACGAAAGCAGCAAATAAAGAAAATAATTAAACCTGTTCTGATTAAACCTGCTGTGAGTCTTAGGCATGAACTAAGAATCACAGGAGATAGAACAGAATGTGTGTGCTAATCTACTTAATCTCTATGTTATCACAGCTCCACTATGGCATGATTATGATTGAAATAAAAATGTTTAGCAATATCGAGCCACTTCCATGAGGTGGAGGCTTTCTGAGCGTCTGAAAGGACGCCGGTGAACACTAGCTGTGTTTTGCACTCCATACTGCACAATAAATCGCGTTCCCCTGAGAGGAAGGGACATGACGTCAAGCCTCTTATTCATAGATCCTGCATATTCATTGTCAAGGTTTTACATTGATGCAAAGTAGCAAGGGTCCGTGTTGGAAGTCAAGTCTTCTTCCAGGACACATTTGATTAAAACGTGCTTATCTGACAAATCAAACCGGTCATGAGTTACCTTATTGTGAGAGGATTCATGCATGTTGTTTTTGAGAGGTTATCTCTCAACATAATTCATAAAGAAATTGCCTATGTTGGAAAAGCAACTTATACATTTAAAAGTGTGATTTTTCCACTTATAAAATGACAATACTTATGAATACATTACTTTAGTGGTTTGGTTTCTCGTATAACAAAACAGTGTAGAAGTGTCGTGTTCCAACATGGAAGAAAATGAAGTTTGCGTACATTTCTACCATGCAAACCTTAACAACTGACTCAGTTTTAGTGCCTTAGCTTTTGCTTATGTTATAGGAGACTCTTATCATTGGATTTATCAAGAAAGATAACAATCTCTGATGTTGCAGCATTGCCCTCTAGTGGCACAGTAAAACACATAACTGTGCTGTATTTCTTGGATATACCAAGCATTCAGAAACATGCTGGAATATTTACCTGAGAGTGAGGGCTTCTGGGAGTGGAGAGCTGATGGGACGCTGACAATCAAACGCTGATCCTCCACAGGAACCTCTGAGCTGAAAAAACAACATTTTATCATTGAATTGTTATAGCATAAATGTTATGTAAAGTGACACAGAGAAGTCACACATATTTTACCTTGTTTCGTTATCTGAAGAGGGACGAAATCGTCCCAGCACCAGCACTTCATATGGCTTCTTATGATGAGAATCCAGTGGAAACACAAACTCTCCAGATGTGGTCACCTAAGAAAAATAAAAACCTTAACACATCTGGAATCTCTCCAATAGTTCAGATGTTTATGATTGAGACATACAAGTTTCTGTACCTTGATCCAGAGCCATTCAGCCACAACTTCTACCCCCCAGTGTGGATACAGCTCATCACGGACAAACCGCAGGTGGCTGGGCCTGTTTGTGACCCAGGTGACCACTAAACCGTTTGGGGAGGCCAGTAAGGGTATAGGCAACCGTTTTAGCTGGGATGAGGGCAAACAACTGTATCTTTATTGAGAAAATAAGGTAAAAACAATCATAATGTTATTATATGTAATGCAAACCCTTCTCTACTTGATTCTTAAAAAGGTCCTGACTGTCACATTATGTACTGTAATATCACTTTTTAAATGGATACAACTCCGGGATCTTCAGTAAACATTTCTTCATTTGAAGGGGTTATAAGCAAGGATACTGGGAGCAACATTACTAGGTGAAATGTATATAGCTTTTGAATATACTGTCTTATTTTAATTGTATACAGTTTATTTTTCTGACATATTCCCCAACCCTTTAGCCTGTTTTTGTGCTATTGTAATCACTAGAAAAACATATTTGTCTCTTCTTTTCACACTTCAAATGTCAAATTACCTGCGACTTCTTTTCACAGACTTGTTTTCCCACGGTGGATCCATCACTATTAAGTCAAACCTTCTTCCATCTGTGTGAGAAACAAGTAGCTTTAGTTACCAATGTCAGGCAAGTGGACCGCCACTTTTGAGATGCATCACAAATGCATTCATTAATGCCACAAAAAACATGTATCTCTTTTTTTGTATCTATAAGGAAAGCAGTTACCACAATCATGCAGTGATGACACCTGTAATACATTTTGTCAAAGCTTTTCCAGATGGTCCGATTAATATTTACAAAATGTTTTACTTCCTTAGATTGTACTCACAGTGGACAAGGGGTTGTATTTTTGTGAAATCAGAAAGCAGGAAGGCTGTGTGTGGTGGTATTACATACTCCTCTCCCATCAGTGTGACCACTGTTGCCCAGTCTGCCCTGTTCTCTGTGACCCGAGAGAACAAGTCTACATGTGACGTACTGCCATCTGCAGCAACAAGTGGCTGAGCACACTCCTCCTGCTGCTCATCGTCCACTAGAGGAAGCTCTTTGGCCATTTCACAGAGAGCGGCAAGGCTGCACTCCTGAGAGGGAAGAGGCTCCTTCACCGTGTCTGTTGTTGAAGTGCCATTAAGATATCCCAGGGATCGGGCAGAATCCACCAAGGACTTGGTTCCCTCCAGGACGACAGACCTGATCTGCATCAGCAAACGTTATATTATTGTGTATGAAATACAACTTTTAATTCTCAGTGATGGAAAGATATTTAATACAATTTTGAGGTACCTTTGTTTTTGTCATTTCATTTTCTTTCACAGATGCAGCCAAGACTTAAGTTAGAAAAAGAGATTCAACCTACCTTCTTATGGAAAGCCTGTGAATCAATTTCCCCCTGGTTGAGTTCACTGTGTTTTCTTTTCCTCTTCTGAAAGTTAAATAAATACAATTTATGTATTTTTCTTCACACAAAGCAGATACACATTTTTTTTTTTTTTTCAGGGAGAATGTTAGATTTAAAAAAAACACACACACTTACATATAACAGGCCTATGTGTCTCTGATTGCTTTATACTTACTACGTTTAAAACAAGTTTAAAAGGGAGTTATTACAACTCTGATTCCTGAAGAGACCTCATACACTAATTTCTCAGTTTGTAATCCAGTGTAATACAACAGCCATGCATCTAATACAAATTAAAAAAACCTATTTTATAGTCTGCTCATGTTGGTGATTGTAAATCGGTGGGTAACCAGCAGTTGTCGCTGTTTAGATGTTTGAGCCCCTTATTTACCTTCGTTGGTTTGTCTGTTTTCTGCAACGTTTCAATGTTTCCTCCATCAGCAGCAACACTAGCAATCGCATCCAAATGGCTTTTTAAGATCTGAAAACACTGCCCTTTGAAACGGCAATTCACATGTGACTTCTGATTATTTTCTCTTACTTGGATACATTGCAAATATCCCTTATCAATGAGGGAGCGTGCATCCAAAACACAGCCCTGCGTGTTTACCAGCACCACGGACATAGTCAAATCTGTGGCTGGCTTTATCTGGCATCAACGGATGTAAATATTACAAGTAGCTCGCTGTGTCGCGGTGCAGCAGCCATGTCCCGCCCAACAAAAGCAACACAAAACGTATCCACACAACGGGATTTCTCTGAAAATGATACCGAAGGCAGAGCGCCTTTTACAATTTAGCGCTGAGTTTCTGTTTCCATTTCGCGGAAGTAGATGCCAATGAGCTTCCGTACAAGCGAACATGCACGCGAACTAACTACGAAGAGAGGGCAATGTGTGTGTTTGAAGCTGAAGGCAGGGACAGCTCATAAGATGCAGTTCAATCGCCGTGGGTATTTGTAAAAAGTCTGGGACGACTGCAAACTGCATGGCACATGTAGCTTAGCTAGCTAGTGAACGTTAGCTCCTATACATTGAGGTTAATAAGGTGTTTCTCTCTCCAGCCTTCATGGAGGGAGGAAAAGTACGCAGAAGGATTCGTGTTTACGACTGCCGCTCCAAAGATGGGGAGAAAGTTAACCAGGAAATGCTGGAAACGAGTGGTTTGGACTTCAAAGGCTTTATTAAACTTCTGCACCGGGTAACGTACATTTTATTTACTTGTGTTAGAGCTCACGTGACTTCAACAGGATATCTAACTATTCTGTGTGGAAGAAAACTCGACCATGGTCAGTTGGTGTTGATCTCCTACCACCAGTGGCGCCTCCAGAAATGTGTCATAAGGGTGGCCAATGGGGCTACTGTCAATCTTGGGGTGGCACACCAAAACCAACAATTGAATTGTTGTAAAAGTATAGACTAGATGAAAACAATGGCAAAGAGAATCACCTACTGATATACTTTGGTTTCTTATTTTACATTTTCTGATACTATTCATCTGAAGTGAATATAATATGGATAGTTAAAGGTGGGGTAGGTAAGTTTGAGAAACCGGCTCGAGATACACTTTTTGTTATATTCCATGGAATGCTCTTAACATCCCGATAGCAATGAATATCTTAAGTGCTTTGACAAAAAACCCATAAAAAAACGTCATCTGTGGAAGCCGTAGTACTGTAAAAAGCACGACCAATCATTTTAGCCGGCCTGGCTAAAATAACTGGATGGCCTACCTGCCTGTCAGCCTTCCATCTGTGCACAAACTTATCTCGTGCCCTCATTGGTCATGTGCGCGTTTGTGTGTGTTGGAGGAGAGGCTCTGTAAGGAAGTGCCAGATTTTTTCTGTGTATTTTCAACTTCTAGCGCACTCGAGCTGGTTTCTCCAAAATTACCTACCCCACCTTTAACATTTAACTTCAAACAACATTTAAAATAACCTTGTTTTGTGTTATGTATACATGCAGTGTTTCCCCTAGGTTTACTGCCTTGGCAGGGTGCTGCTGGGGTACCCCCCCAACGGGTTAGGGTTAGCAATTTTTATTTGGGCGTTACTGGGTGACATTTATGATGAAACTAAACACGCTCCAAACACAGATGCAGATTTTGTGGTTGTATTATGAGCATTGTTGTAATAGAAACTTGAGTCAAGCTTTGTTGACCTTTCAGCATAGAATGAATGAATTATCAGACTTGTTCTATTGACTTATTTGCTAACATTGCCTGTTTTTCCCGGTTGACATTAACGAACCACTATATTCACTAATGATTAACTTTTTTACAAATGTTCAATCATTAATATTGTCTATAAAATATTATAAAATATAGTTAAAAATAAACCGTTCAGATTCCCAAAGCCCGATGAGATGACTTTAAATTCCTTTTTGATTTTACATTCGCAATCATAAAAAGAAAAACAGATTAATCTAACAAATGAGAAGTAGAAAAAAAACATTTGGCATTCCTAAGAGAATACGGCACCACTTTCTTTTAAGGATTTTTACATTTGAACAAATGGCCTTATTAATAATAAATAATGAATTGACCTATCCTTAGATAAGTTACTATCCATTAATGGGAGGATTGTAGAATACAGCTATACATCAGAGTTCCCGTTAGCCGGTAATTACCGGACAATGACCGGTAAAATATGCTGAAGTCCGGCAAATCTAAATCTCTCCGGTCAAAATGTCCGGTCAAAATAATTTTCCCTTAGCGCAATACCGCATCAGTTGCGCCACTTATGTGACAGACAAGAATAGTATGTGACAGACAAAAGAGTATGTGACAGACAAAAATTGTCAATTCTAATGTCTAACACTTAATGTGGAGAAAGAGATGTCCTGTATGGGTTGATTGTGCGTTGATCTGTTGGTAATGCCTCGGGGTTCCGGTGGGCATGTAAACAAATGCATAATGCTGCGCTATACTTTGTGGCCTCATCCGGTTGCATAGCGACGCTTATTGTTTAGGTGTCTTTTAACAAGCAGGTAGTCATATCATTAGCTAGAACTAGCTAGATCTGATCGATATGGACATAAATGCGAGTAAAGTCTAATCTGACAGGAGAGAGAGATCGGCTGCTGCTGACGAGTCGACACGCAGCTCTGCATGATCCCCTGCAGCGGCGAGCAGAGCAAAACACACTTCAGGTTAGAAAATCACACGTAGCTATTTTAATTACCTCTCAAACTACCTAAACTAGTTATAGATATGTTTAGTTTTACTGTCGGGTCACTCATTACTGGATCCGCGAGCTGCATGATACTGACGGGCTGTCAGGAGAAGGAGAGAGCGCTCCGTTTATTATTCCCGCGTTTTTGTAAATTACTGTACACTTTTGAATAATGTAGTTAATCTACTATAATTAGTTTGTTTAATGTCGAATCATATCAATTTGTTTTAAAGCTCAATAAATAACAAAGAAGACCTTTAACCGGCACTTATCTAATTTTGTCCGGAAGATTTCAACTTTAACGGACATGTTGACCGGCAAAAAAATATTCTAACGGGAACTCTGCTATACATGCTAGTCAGCCATCAATACATGCTTTAGAAGATGTTAAGTAATTTATTTTATTAATGAGTTCTGGAGAATTTTTTTTATTTGATTAATGTTTCCTGCACTTTTGTTGTTGTTGCCTAAGTCAGCACAACCCACTTCTCAACTGCATCCAAATTAAAAATCATTCTTTTGAAATGGCTTAATATTTGGAGACACAGAAACCAATTAGTAGGGATGCTCCGATCGATCGGTCACCGATCGAGATCTGCCGATACTCACTCTCTACCGATCGATCGGTGCTCTCTAAACATGCCGATCGCGAGGGCCGATCGCATCACGTAAAATACATGACACTTTTCTCTGTACGCGGCAAAACAAGCTCGCCAAAATGGCTTCACCGGTCTGGCATTATTTTAAGGTGTCCGAAAAAGACAGTAAAATAGCGGTATGCAACGTGTGTGTGAAGCAGAAATCCTGCAGCTCCACCCGCTGTGATGGACCGGTGAGCGGAGCGAAACACACAAGAGTTAGACCTAACAGACTTAGCTATTTTATCTACCTAATTCAGAACGCCGCTGCTCGAGTCCTCACTAACACTAAGAAAGTGGATCACATCACTCCTGTTCTGAAGTCTTTACACTGGCTTCCTGTGTGTCAAAGAATAGATTTCAAAATATTGTTGCTGGTTTATAAAGCTTTGAATGGTTTAGGCCCAAAATACATGTCTGACCTACTGCTAAATTATGAACCATCCAGAACCCTCAGGTCTTCAGGGACTGGTCAGCTTTCTGTCCCCAGAGTCAGAACTAAACATGGTAAAGCAGCGTTCAGTTATTATGCTCCGAATATCTGGAACAAACTCCCAGAAACCTGCAGGTCCGCTGCAACTCTTACTACTTTTAAATCCAGGCTGAAGACTTTTCTTTTTGCCGCTGCTTTTAATTGAACTATTCATATCTTACACTGCACTGTAACTTTTAACTTTTATCCATGTATTTTTTCTTTTAATGTTTATTTTATTATCTTTCCTTTTTAATGACTGATTTTAAATGCCATTTTTAAAATGTCTTCCATTTTTGTAAAGCACTTTGAATTACCTTGTGTTGAAAGGTGCTATATAAATAAACTTGCCTTGCCTTGCCTTGCCTTACCTCTGGAACAAGCTAAACTAGTTATAAATATGTTTATTCTTCACTGTCGGCCTCACACATTACTGGATCAGCGAGCTGCATGAGACGATACTGACGGGCTGTCAGGAGAGGGAGAGAGGGGGAGAGAGAGAGGGAGAGAGAGAGGGAGAGAGAGGAAAAGAGAGCGCTTGCTAATTTCTCCCGTGGTATTATCCAAAGTGAATGTAAACTTGAATAATATACATAATTTGAATGTAATAATTAAGTTGATTGTTGTTTGTGGAAGCTCCAGTGAATGAGCCCCATTAACTGAGTTTTAAACATCACTTTAAATGGAAGATTTAAAGTGATGTTTAAATCTTCCATTTAGGCCCCGCCCACTCGATCGGATCGGCGATCGGTATCGGCAGATACTGATTCCGGCGATCGGCGATCGGCCCCAAAATTGGCGATCGGAGCATCCCTACCAATTAGTGATAATTGTTTGCACCTGGGTCCAGTTAATAAAGAAGTTAATAAAGAGGCTGTACAATCAGTGTTTATTTAGGATAGGATAAACAGCACATAAAACCACAGCTAGCACGACTGTATACATACTTATAAGCCCTCTGAGGGCACTGTGCCTTAACAACGAACGTATACGACTTACCTTCTAGAAGTCTGGTGGATTTTTGTCAACTCCAGTCCAGTCAGTAGAAAGAAACACACGTTTTGCTGCAACCTGCTGCTGTCTGTGCCCGTGAATCTCAGAGTGGTGTGCGCGAGTATCAGAGTGTTACCATGGTAGCAGTCGGAGAGGGAGGGGCTGCAGTATGAGCGTTGGAAGCTCAAATCAAGCGACTCGCTGGCTGTGAATTTGTTGTTAAATATCAGATAAATGCATCAAACCCCCAGGAAGTGCGCCGGACTCTGATGAAAATATTCGTTGTGTCCAAACGGCGGTACTACAATTTCCGTATCAGTCTGTGACGCCAGTGGGCCCAGAAAGACTTTTGCCCATTAGCCGCGTTCACACTGCAGTACTTTTCCCACTTTAGTTCCGATATAGTTCCGAAATGTCGCGTTTACACCAAAAAGAGCCGGAACAAAAATTAGTTCATCAGAACCTTTTGTACCCCCTTTTTCTGCTAGAGAGCAGGTACTTTCGTGGGAGAAAAAGCTTCCTATGTCTGATTGGCTGGGCGGAATGCAAA